TTTGATAGGGGGTAGTCGTCCTTGGGACATGCCTTGTTCAAATCAGTGAAGTCTACGCAGACACGCCATTTCTCCCCCTTTTTTTCGCACAGACTGTGTTTGATAACCATTCTGAGAACNTGGATTTCAGCCAAGCTTTGAGATCAGTTTTCACCTCAGGGGGAGGTCCTCTGAGTTTTCTAAGGTCATTGACGAGATTCCCCTTCTCCGGGCGTCGTGTGAAAAGGGTTGAATCCTCCTCGGACTCGTTCCTCTTACCCCGCTCGGACAGTCCTCGTTGAAGGTTGTCCCAAGCCAAAGGCCTTGCCTTCTTGGAAAGACCATCGAAGGGGTGCTCATTGGCTCTTGGGCGCTTTGGGACCCTGGAACTCTCAGCTTTGTTGTTTAAATGATTCTTCAGGTCCTCGATTTCTGCTTCCCAGACGGAGCGTTCGCGGGAACGAAATGAGTCCCTTGATCCTTCGTCAAGGGTTACAAATTCGTTGAGCTGGCTTAGGACATTCACATTATCTTTTTCTAGCTGCCGTAGTCGATCTCCAAACTTTTCTTCGATCATTTTCGCCAGTTAATGAGCCAAGGGGGCAGATCCTCCTGACCTAATGTCCACACTGGTTTGAGGAGTATGCCCCTTTGATTGAATAAAAACGTTCATGTTGTCACCAGCGTGATCCCTCCCTCCACCATAATGAGGAGCTTGTAACTCGAGACTTCTTTGCTGGGGGACTTTCCCTTTCTGTCGAGTATTCACCATGGTCACTGTTCTTTCTAAAAAAAAAATTAGGAAAACTAGTCGTTTCCCACAGACGGCGCCAGATTGTGCGTGCACGTTCTTGCACCATATAAACACAATAACAGATCTCTTCTGTTGTAAACACGTATCCGTCGATCGAGTGGTCGATCTTGCTACTTGAAATAGGTTGTGAGGGGCGAAGGTGGCCTATGAAGTGATGATGGATTGTTTTTATGGGTCGCCTGACTGATCCTGGGAGGCTAAGAGAGGTTCCTGAAACAGAGAAAAACAGGTTATAAGGGCACTGGAGTGTTTTTCGGCGTATCCCTTCCGATGATCAAGTCAGTTCTTTGAGAGAGAAGAAGAAGAAAATACTATATGATCCTTGAGAAAGGGTTTTTGCGTACTTTTTTAATGTGTTTGTGAGAACTATTTATACCTTACAAAACTCATTATTGCTGATAGCGTAGCTAGTAGGTAATCATTAGAGGTGGACAATGTGCACACTAATTTCTATGAGAAATGTCCTCATTCTTAACTTTTCGNCAGGGGTCATCCACTCATGGACGCCCGAACTGTGATTGCTATTTTTTCAGGATTTTCTCCGGGGCGTGTCCCTTCTCTTGGGTGAAAATTTCCGCTCTCACAGCCGAGTAAAAATAATTTTTTACGGACGCTTGGTCCCCTCGGATCTCCATTATCCCCTCTGGTGTAGCAAACTTCAATTTCTGGTGGTAAGTGGAGTACACCGCCCCCAGTGCATGCAACTAAACTTGCCCCATGATCACATTGTAGGGGAGTCCATATCAATCACAACAAACTCGGTGTTGATGGTGAAGGGACCCGTGACGACTGACAATGCAATTTTGTCAATGGGCAGGGCAAATGAGCCGTTAAATCCGACGAGGGGCGTCCTAACCTTGGTGAGGTTCTTGAGGCCAAAGCCCATCCGTTTTAAGGTTTCGGAGTACATTACCTCTGAGGAACTCTCGAAATCTACCAACACCCTCTTGACGTCGAACTTGCCTATTTTCAGAGTTATGATTAGGGCGTCGTTATGGGGGGTTACCACGCCTATTAAGTCCGCGTCGAAGAACGTGATACTCGGCTCGCTAGTCCTGGCTCTCTTGCTAGGCAGGCCCCCATCGCTCTCGATAACCTTTCTCGTAAAGGCTACCCTTTTGAGATCGGACTCAAGCTCCCTGGATGTCGGACGATCCAGTGGACACACGTGGATCACGTCTATGACGTTGTCTTGTGCCACGGTCAGGGGCAGAAGCATGTCCCTCTTCCGACCTGGGTTCGATGTATTCTTTCAAGTAATCGTCCTAGACTAGCCTTTCCAGGAAAGATTTGTACACTCTGCAATCTTCGATGCGATGGCCAAAATCCCAGTGATAGGAGCAGTTGACTTTTTGATCTCAGGTGGAAGAATCGCTCTGCATCCTAGGCGACCACTTGAAGAATGACTCATGCTTGATTTTATAAAGCAACTTGTAGATGGGTTCTTTGAACACAGTGTGAACACCTTTAAATGACCCTCCTGGAGGGGGTACCAGCCCCTTTCGGGAGGTGTCCTCCCTCTCCTTCTCTTTTCTCCTAGGGGTGAGGGTTTTGCCTTTGTCGCCCCCCATTTCTTCTTCAATCCTAGAGTATTTGTTTATTTGGGCCATCAATTCGCCCATATCTAAAGGAGTCTTCTTAGTCAGGGATCAGTACAGGTCCGTGTCCCTTGCCAAACTGAGCCTAAAGGATGCGGTTGCTATGACTTCTGAACACCCCTCTATCTCATCGACCTCCTCCTAGTATCGGATGGCATATTGGCGAAGGGTGTTTAATTCCTTCCGCCTGGGCGTCAGTAATGATCCAATATCTTTGGGCCGCTTATTCCCCCTAATGAATCGGGCTAAAAACTGTCTCGTCAACTCCTTCCATGACCCAATGTTATTGGGAGGAAGAGTCTCGAACCATTTTATAGCGGAATCACCCAAACTCATGGAGAACACTCGGTAGAGAAGCCGTTGGTCCGAGTGATACAAGGACATCATTTGTTTGTATTGTCTGAGGTGAGCTTCGGGATCAGATCGCCCATTATAAGTTTTGAACCTTGACACGACAAACTTCTTTGGTATCTTTATCTCTCAGATATCCCTAGTAAAAAGGGATTGCATGGCCTCGTCTTCTGCGTCATCCTGTACAGCCTTGCCCCTTCTTCTGGATTTCAGCCAAGCTTTGAGATCAGTTTTCACCTCAGGGGGAGGTCCTCTGAGTTTTCTAAGGTCATTGACGAGATTCCCCTTCTCCGGGCGTCGTGTGAAAAGGGTTGAATCCTCCTCGGACTCGTTCCTCTTACCCCGCTCGGACAGTCCTCGTTGAAGGTTGTCCCAAGCCAAAGGCCTTGCCTTCTTGGAAAGACCATCGAAGGGGTGCTCATTGGCTCTTGGGCGCTTTGGGACCCTGGAACTCTCAGCTTTGTTGTTTAAATGATTCTTCAGGTCCTCGATTTCTGCTTCCCATACGGAGCGTCCGCGGGAACGGAATGAGTCCCTTGATCCTTCGCCAAGGGTTGCAAATTCGTTGAGCTGGCTTAGGACATTCACATTATCTTTTTCTAGCTGCCGTAGTTGATCCCCAAACTTTTCTTCGATCATTTTCGCCAGTTAATGAGCCAAGGGGGCAGATCCTCCTGACCTAATGTCCACACTGGTTTGAGGAGTATGCCCCTTTGATTGAATAAAAACGTTCATGTTGTCACCAGCGTGATCCCTCCCTCCACCATAATGAGGAGCTTGTAACTCGAGACTTCTTTGCTGGGGGACTTTCCCTTTCTGTCGAGTATTCACCATGGTCACTGTTCTTTCTAAAAAAAAAATTAGGAAAACTAGTCGTTTCCCACAGACGGCGCCAGATTGTGCGTGCACGTTCTTGCACCATATAAACACAATAACAGATCTCTTCTGTTGTAAACACGTATCCGTCGATCGAGTGGTCGATCTTGCTACTTGGAATAGGTTGTGAGGGGCGAAGGTGGCCTATGAAGTGATGATGGATTGTTTTTATGGGTCGCCTGACTGATCCTGGGAGGCTAAGAGAGGTTCCTGAAACAGAGAAAAACAGGTTATAAGGGCACTGGAGTGTTTTTCGGCGTATCCCTTCCGATGATCAAGTCAGTTCTTTGAGAGAGAAGAAGAAGAAAATACTATATGATCCTTGAGAAAGGGTTTTTGCGTACTTTTTTAATGTGTTTGTGAGAACTATTTATACCTTACAAAACTCATTATTGCTGATAGCGTAGCTAGTAGGTAATCATTAGAGGTGGACAATGTGCACACTAATTTCTATGAGAAATGTCCTCATTCTTAACTTTTCGGGACCCCGAACAACCAATGTTCTTTCCTCGATTTGTCGAGTGTTTCATGACCTTCTCTCGGCAGGAATGTATTAAATGCCCAGGCATAGGAATATTTATTACCTTTCATTTTCAGGCTCTTATACATTAAATGTTGTCTCATCAAGGGAAAAATACATTAAATGTCTGTCTTCCCAAGTCGTGTGTCAGCAAGGGTATTCTGGTCTTTTTACCTCTAACCTGACACAATGTGTCATGTGCCCATTCCCCTTTGGTTGAGTCTTCTATTTTCTTGTGCCTCCTGACACTATTTGACTAAGGCGATGTTATGATAGCTAGTCTAGCCTAGCCTAGCCTATACTAGTAATCTGTCAATCAACAGCCCCTGTAGGAGCAAAAACGCCCACATGGATAGATACACCTTGGTGCCGAGGTACTAGCATGATTAGGGACCGATATACCCCAGCTACCCAAGGGATACGTGTCAGTCCATGGCGTATTGGGCTTCCTTGATCCCTGTGAATAGTACCTCTCGGGGGAAGGGGTTATAGACCGACGAGGATGTGTCGGGATCACAACAGAGAGTTTTCATTGGCGCTGAATACACGTGTCGTCATCTTGGTGTGTCTGGAAAAAGTCCCATCACATGTGCTCAATGAAAATCCAGTTTTTCTCTACTAGGCATTGGTCTATGTTAATATGTCCCATAACCAATGGAAACCTATAAATTTTTACGATGGGGTGAACAAATCTTGGCCAATCCATTCTTTTATATGCTTGTCGTGGACAAAAATTCATAGGTTACACATTTAAGAGACGAATATTAAGGACAGGAATGGGGCCTAATTTGAAGATAACTGAAAATAGTTGGACTAGTTTTAGAACACACCCACTGCCCACAAGATAAATCCAATAAACCACTTACTTGTAATGAGATGGAGAAATCCCTTGAAAGAAAACCTTAGTGCTGGTAGAATTAACATTAGAGTCCACCCACCCAGCCGAAGTATTGAGTGCCCTCTCAAAAGCAGCCATTCGGTCCATGTCTTTGTATGTCTCATTCCCTACTTGAATATAATCCCATCTGAAATAAGAAAAAAACATCAGAGGTAACGTTACTCTATTGTGATCTAGGTATCATAAGTTCAAGTATGTCTGACCCATTATTTTATTTAAAAAAATATGATAAAATGAAGAAGGAAAGAAGAAAGATTAGTTAGAAGTGAACGAACGGTTGTCCAACTCCTCTGCGGTTCCACCAATGCCAAGTGTTGAAGATTAGCATGTCAATCCCTTTCCATAGCTTGCCACCCACTATTGAGTCAAGTTTCAAGACCCTGCCCTTGTCATCCCTCACTACATCCACTAAAAACACATTGCGATTAAGCATCACTTTCACTCCATAATCCTGCAAGATGATAAACCAATAGAAGGATTATTTGATGAGGTAATATGCACAGGGGCCACTAAACTTTCTATCTTTTTATGTGCATCAAAAACATATAATCCTAATAAAATCACATCTTCATAGTTTTGGATAGCTTCTGAAATGACTACTTTAAGTCTAATAATGGTAACCTATTTTACAGTAAGATGATTACATTTTAGAGGATATTGCTCTGCAATTATTTGTATTGAAATCACTGAAGTCAGCTGAAAATAGACTGAGTAAGAGGACCACAATGGTTGGTTAAACCAAGACAAAGAGTTGTGCAATGGTCCCATAATGGATTATCTGATCTGTTTCCGAATCCTTACCAGTGAAATCCACAAGTCTGACTAAGGTTTAACATGGCATTGAACATGCCTAGGTCCATGTAGTATGTTGCCCTAATAAGTTTTGAGCAATTGAGACCTAATTTGGAGAATTAGTGTAACAAGTTTACCGAAAATCTGAACTTAAATCCGAACCAAATTCAATATCTTATATTTCACAGATTCAGATTCAAATTTAAATATACTAATATCCAATTTAATTATGATTCAATCTGAAATATTTTTATATTTTTATATAAATATTAAAAAAATTACGTGATTATTTAAAAATTTTAGTTAAAATTTAAATATAATTTATTAAAATTTAATTAATTAAGTTATTCAAATTGGATTAAATTTTAGATCGGATTCTGAATTATTAATGAATTTAAATATAAATCACAAAAATAAAATTTGTCAGATTATTGAATTGAATTCGGATCACCTTTCAATCAAATTTGATCCAAGCCCTTGAAAGGCATATTCTTATGTAGAGGCGACTTAGACGTTACCCGGTGGATATAGGGCTATCCACGAATCTTAATGTGAGGATCCGGGCTGGGCCATGGCCCGCTAGGCTAGCTAATGGACACTTCACCCACCTACACAATGAATAGCAGCGGAAGTTGATACGTGTGCATTTTAAATGGTTGAAGCGTACCGTGAACGTGAAGGAGGAGATATCGGCTTGTCTGGTGAGATTGAATTTGGGTCTGGGCACTGCAGTATAAAGCATGCACACCAGTGACTGCCATTGGTTTCTGCTTAGAGAGTCTCCGACGAACATGATGCTTTTTCCTTTGAATTTTTGCAAGAAATCTCCACCATTAAACCTGTAAAACGCTAAAGCTTTCTCAGATTTCTCATATGCTTGTCACAGAAGGACGACCCACCACGTGACTGACAAATTGCCAAAGAGAACACGGCAGTAACCCATCAGATGATGCCTGCGTTTGACCTACTCTTTGAAGGTAAATACCAAACCAGGGCAACTAATTGTTACAATAACACCTTCTAATTTGAGTTTTGATTTGGATAAGACACCATAACATTTTTCCAACACGAAAGAGCAAAGAGCTAGCTAGCATTACCCGTGACCTCTTTTTTTTTTTTTTTTCTTTTTCATGATCAAACCCCGTGACCTCTTTTTCACTTTAATAATTTCCTACCCATATGGTGAAAGACAGCGAATCTATGCCAAAGATCCCACTTTCCAGTAATTGGTAAAATAATTTTAATTGCCAATATTTTTTTTGGAAGTTCATATCAGTATATTTCGATTAATCTTCTTTCTAGTCTGGTTTATCCCGCTGAGACTGAGATATTTACGAAGAATAAATTTTTTATAGTCTAACCTCACGAGATTGCTAAGATTCAAAACTCGAATTTATATCTTGTGTCTTGTTGGCACTGGAGCTACTCCTTGTAGTTAAAACACCAATATTTATAAAGACGCGTGTCAAACGGAGTTGATAGAGTGCAAATAAAATGATGGGAGAGAGTCCAGGAGAATTTATAAACAAAAGGAGGCCCTTGAAATAAATACAATAGCACGAAACCTGGAAGAGCTACGGTACCGAATGTTACAACTAAATTGGGGTCTATCAGTCTAAACAGGTTCAAGGTATGATCGATTTTATAAATGTTAGAATTGATCCCAAATAATATTATTTTATAATCTCATCAAACTTTGTTATAATTTTGATCTTAGTTGTATTAATTTCAGTACTACAGAGGTAGGAAAAGAAAAATCAAACAAAAACCACTTCACATGAGAATCATGGGCTTCCCATGAGACTGTCATTGCCATGTTACTATTTTTTTCCCCAGGTGTCCCTATCCATGTAGTAGGTGAATGTTGTAAGTTTGTTAATTGTTTTTTGGTTTAATTGTTAGAGTTATTCGGACTAGTTTATGTGCGTTTCAACTAGTTTTTTTCTCTGGTCCAGTTAAAAGTATGTCATCTACATCAGGAATAATGTATTTATGAAAGATAAATCTCTCAAGGTCTGATCTTAAAGAATTATCGAGATTTGAACTCAAGACGTCTAATACACGAGATTTGAATTAAAAAATTATCGAAATTTGAATTCATGTATACACATCCGTCTAATACACGAGACTCTCGAGATGAGTGGTTGGCCTATTAACCACCGTCCTTGTTATTGAATTTTCAGATTGTGGATTTAAACTTCAGAGTCCCGTTTATGTAATAACGTCTACCAAAAAAACCAAAATATATGCGAGATTAAAAAAGAATTTACTCGGTACACGAGACGAGACGGGTGAGTTAGATGTATGGAATACAGTATTGGAGATTACATTCTAACAAAGACAATGAAAATGAATGGCCGGAGATAATACCTTGCCAAATTGCAGCCACGGGGCTGCCATCTGTATTTCTGATACAACTGATTTGGGCGGCCATTCTTCTGGCAGCTGAACTCTCGTTCGATGAACGAACACATTGTCTCATTGTAGATAGGGTAGGATGGGTCGAAGACCCAACTTCCTTGGAACAAATCACAGTTCTGTGCGTTGGTTATGTGGAGCAGAACCATGAGCAACACACAGAAACTGCAGTAAGCCCCTGCATCCATGGGCTGGACAGAGAGCAGAGAAAAAAACAATGGTTTTAGAGAGAGAAAGTACAGGNGCGTTTCAACTAATTTTTTTCTCTGATCCAGTTAAAAGTATGTCATCCACATCAAGAATAATGTATTTATAAAAGATAAATCTCTCAAGGTCTGATCTTAAAGAATTATCGAGATTTGAATTCAAGACGTCTAATACACGAGATTTGAATTAAAGAATTATCGAGATTTTAATTCATGTATACACATCCGTCTAATACACGAGACTCTCGAGATCAGTGGTTGGCCTATTAACCACCGTCCTTGTTATTGGATTTTCAGATTGTGGATTTAAACTTCAGAGTCCCGTTTATGTAATAACGTCTACCAAAAAAACCAAAATATATGCGAGATTAAAAAAGAATTTACTCGGTACACGAGACGAGACGGGTGAGTTAGATGTATGGAATACAGTATTGGAGATTACATTCTAACAAAGACAATGAAAATGAATGGCCGGAGATAATACCTTGCCAAATTGCAGCCACGGGGCTGCCATCTGTATTTCTGATACAACTGATTTGGGCGGCCATTCTTCTGGCAGCTGAACTCTCGTTCGATGAACGAACACATTGTCTCATTGTAGATAGGGTAGGATGGGTCGAAGACCCAACTTCCTTGGAACAAATCACAGTTCTGTGCGTTGGTTATGTGGAGCAGAACCATGAGCAACACACAGAAACTGCAGTAAGCCCCTGCATCCATGGGCTGGACAGAGAGCAGAGAAAAAAACAATGGTTTTAGAGAGCGAAAGTACAGGAGCAATGACAGAGGACACCTCTCTCTCTCTCTCTCTCTCATGCGTATGAGTGTATATATAAGAAGATGGAGAGAGAGCGAGAAGGAGGGGTAAGTTTGGTAGGTGAAGGGAAATGAGATTTACTTGGTTATATCATATATGCCCGAGGGATCTGGGTAATATAATTGCAAAGATCAATTAGTGTATAATGCAAAGGTTGTGAAATCTGATTTCTGTTACATTTTGTTCATTTTGCTAAAAGAGGAAAGAAGAGGTTAGTAACTGTGTTTTGTGAAACTATGGATAAGTTCCCGGCATACCCAGTGTACGAGACACCCGTCATTTTGGAGTTAGGNTGTTCATTTTGCTAAAAGAGGAAAGAAGAGGTTAGTAACTGTGTTTTGTGAAACTATGGATCAGTTCCCGGCATACCCGGTGTACGAGACACCCGTCATTTTGGAGTTAGGGGAAGGTTAGATATGTATAGTTTTATCCCTGCAAGCAGAGAGATTATTTTTGCGATTCGAACCCGTGACTGACAAGTTACAATAGAACAATTTTATTGTTGCGTTAAAACCCACATTAAATCAACTCTAGTTGTTAGTGATCAAATCCGATGGACCCCACATTGAGCTTGGTTGATTGGGTCACATTGAGATCCCCTTCAATAAATTTTCTTCAAATTTTTATCAATAGCAAATTATATGTATAGTGAATGCTATAAACTCATGGTAAATTCGGAATCCAAATCTCATTAGACTTAGGTCTAACAGTCTAAATAAGATTTGTTGAAATGTAGTTGTAGCTATTATATTCCTAAACACACATCACTGTTTATATTTCTCATTATGGTTTGAGACATTAATGCCAAAAGATCTGATAAAATAGAAATAGGGACTACTAAATGCTTTCCTTCATCATACGAATCGCTCCCAAATGATCCTTCTTCAAGGGTTAATCCCAAATAACTTGATTCCTTTCGTTTTACAGCCCTATATGTGACAGATATGGTCAGCCCTGTCGAACAAGAAAGGTTGGTATTGGAACTTGGAATCATACTGTGGCGGCTTCAAACTGGGCTTGATTTGAGAACTATAGGGTTTAGTTCAGCCTGATTGCTGGGCATTATAAGTTTGTTATAATGATGATATACAAGGACAACAAAAAGATAGGAAACATAATTATTGCAGCAACAAAATGCCTCTAAGATATTTTCAAAATTTGAAATTTCTTTGTACCATAATTCACGACAGAAACAAAGAAAAATCATACCTAGAATGCAAGATTTTCGCTTATAGTAAAGTTTAGAACAATTAAGTAATAAACAGTCTTAATCATATTTTAAAGACTTCGATTCTCAAAGTCGAACTCGCGACATTACTTTGCCTTTACTTCAATAAAATGAAAGCATCCTGTAGATATTGTAACGGAGAATAACACAGCTGACTTTCCCATAGCGGTTCGAACACTTTTTTTCTAACAACATGTATACAGTATGATACAGAACCTTTCAACAATTGTTAAGAAGCCTATGCAATCATGTGTCTATAGATATTCCAACTAAATAAGAGAGGAACAAAAAGGAGAGACAATGCGTAGCAGAGTATTAAAAAATATATGTATGCTGATGTATACAACATATCTCTAATTCCTGTTTTTCCAGTATTCAGAATCCAAATTGATAGGGTAGAGATCAGCAGCAGATGTGGAGGAAGAGGTCCACGGTCCATCGTTTGACATATTGTGAACCAGACTGTCAGTGATGCTTGTTGCATGGACATGTTGGTGGTGGCTCGTTTCCTTGGGTGGGTCAGAAACAATTTCCTGAATAAACGTTCTGCCTTCAAGCATGCTAACCACTGAAGACATGGTAGGTCTAACTGCTGGCAAGACATTTGCACATTGGAGGGCTACATTAATCGTCATAATCACCTCTTCTTCGTTGAAATCTGATCCCAACCTTGGATCGACTAGCTCCATCAAATTCCCCTTCTCCTTCAGTTCAAGAGCCTAGGAACAAAAGGAAGTGCTACCTTAGATGTGGACTAACATTGCGTTTGCCTTGTGACAAGAGATAAGGAATAAGACCCAGTCTTATTGATCAAGGACCATATCATTAAGATTTTGTTACTAACATAATGGCTAAAATCATTTTCCCTATATGCAACGTAAAATGATTAGTAATCGAACAAAATAACTTTCTATCTTTCCTGAGAATTGTCTATTCTATAACAAAAGATTCATCTCCTAGTGATGCACACTACTTAATAGCTCCACTTTTGCAGAAGAAACATTGTCTTGCTATTCTCATTCTTCATAACATATGCAGCTTAACACTAAAAGATACAAACAACAGAAGACGAGCAACAGTGTATGCAAGAAAGTAAGATAACGGACTTACCCAATCAATAAGATAAAAGCACTGGTCCTTTGTCTTTTGACTAGTGTTACTCCTCCCACTTACAATTTCCAAAGCAACAATTCCAAAGCTATAAACGTCTGCTTTGTCAGTTAAGTAACCCCGCATTGCGTATTCGGGAGCCATATATCCGCTGAAAACCATAAATATCACATCACATTTTCTGTGGTGTGTGTCATTAACTATTGTTAAGAACAAGATTAAAGTTTAGTATTTTGTCACTTACTTTCCCTAAGGCCTGCATATCATTTAGTCATTATAAGGAAAATCCTTAAATAAAAAAAGAAAATGACAACTATCATCCCAACAGAGAAAAGAAGTAACAACAATATTGATAATTCCATTAATCCTTATCCCCTCTTGCCCCGTTGAACTCCAAATTAAGCATGGTGACTCACAAAGTTCCAGCAACTCGGGTACTTATGTGTGTATTCTCCTCTTCATCAAGTTTAGCTAAACCAAAGTCGGATATCTTAGGGGTAAGATCCTTATCAAGCAGCACATTGGTGGCCTTGATGTCTCTGTGAACAATCTTCAGTCTTGATTCTTCATGGAGATAAGCCAAACCTCTTGCTATGCCAACGCAGATCTTGTGCCTTGTACGCCAATCCAATTTCAACTGGCACTCTTCTGGGCCTTCAAATCCAAGTGTACACAAACCAATAAATACTGAGCAGCTTATTTATGCATGTGTACATAGGCAAGAGAGTGTATTGCTGTTATAATCTGAAAGGAAGAATAAAGCATGGGGTTGAAGCTAACCAAACAAAGCACGAGCCAAGCTGTTATTTTCCATGTACTCGTACACNTGGGACCCTGGAACTCTCAGCTTTGTTGTTTAAATGATTCTTCAGGTCCTCGATTTCTGCTTCCCATACGGAGCGTCCGCGGGAACGGAATGAGTCCCTTGATCCTTCGCCAAGGGTTGCAAATTCGTTGAGCTGGCTTAGGACATTCACATTATCTTTTTCTAGCTGCCGTAGTTGATCCCCAAACTTTTCTTCGATCATTTTCGCCAGTTAATGAGCCAAGGGGGCAGATCCTCCTGACCTAATGTCCACACTGGTTTGAGGAGTATGCCCCTTTGATTGAATAGAAACGTTCCTGTTGTCACCAGCGTGATCCCTCCCTCCACCATGATGAGGAGCTTGTAACTCGAGACTTCTTTGCTAGGGGACTTTCCCTTTCTGTCGAGTATTCACCATGGTCACTGTTCTTTCTAAAAAAAAATTAGGAAAACTAATCGTTTCCCACAGACGGCGCCAGATTGTGCGTGCACGTTCTTGCACCATATAAACACAATAACAGATCTCTTCTGTTGTAAACACGTATCCGTCGATCGAGTGGTCGATCTTGCTACTTGGAATAGGTTGTGAGGGGCGAAGGTGGCCTATGAAGTGATGATGGATTGTTTTTATGGGTCGCCTAACTGATCCTAGGAAGCTAAGAGAGATTCCTGAAACAGAGAAAAACAGGTTATAAGGGCACTGGAGTATTTTTCGGCGTATCCCTTCCGACGATCAAGTCAGTTCTTTGAGAGAGAAGAAGAAGAAAATACTATATCATCCTTGAGAAAGGGTTTTTGCGTACCTTTTTAATGTGTTTGTGAGAACTATTTATACCTTACAAAACTCATTATTGCTGACAGCGTAGCTAGTAGGTAATCATTAGAGGTGGACAATGTGCACACTAATTTCTATGAGAAATGTCCTCATTCTTAACTTTTTGGGACCCCGAACAACCAATGTTTTTTCCTTGATTTGTCGAGTGTCTCATGACCTTCTCTCGGCAGGAATGTATTAAATGCCCAGGCATAGGAATATTTATTACCTTTCATTTTTAGGCTCTTATACATTAAATGTTGTCTCATCAAGGGAAAAATACATTAAATGTCTGTCTTCCCAAGTCGTGTGTCAGCAAGGGTATTCTGGTCTTTTTACCTCTAACCTGACACAATGTGTCATGTGTCCATTCCCCTTTGGTTGAGTCTTCTATTTTCTTGTGCCTCCTGACACTATTTGACTAAGGCAATGTTATGATAGCTAGTCTAGCCTAGCCTAGCCTATTCTAGTAATCTGTTAATCAACAGCCTCTGTAGGAGCAAAAACGCCCACATGGACAGATACACCTTGGTGCCGAGGGACTAGCATGATTAGGGACCGATATACCCCAGTTATCCAAGGGATACGTGTCAGTCCATGGCGTATTGGACATCCTTGATCCCTGTGAATAGTACCTCTCGGGGGAAGGGGTTATAGACCGACGAGGATGTGTCGGGATCACAGCAGAGAGTTTTCATTGGCGCTGAATACACGTGTCGTCATCTTGGTGTGTTTGAAAAAAGTCCCATCACATGTGCTCAATGAAAATCCAGTTTTTCTCTACTAGGCATTGGTCTATGTTAATATGTTCCATAACCAATGGAAACCTATAAATTTTTACGATGGGGTGAACAAATCTTGGCCAATCCATTCTTTTATATGCTTGTCGTGGACAAAAATTCATAGGTTACACATTTAAGAGACGAATATTAAGGACAGGAATGGGGCCTAATTTGAAGATAACTGAAAATAGTTGGACTAGTTTTAGAACACACCCACTGCCCACAAGATAAATCCAATAAACCACTTACTTGTAATGAGATGGAGAAATCCCTTGAAAGAAAACCTTAGTGCTGGTAGAATTAACATTAGAGTCCACCCACCCAGCCGAAGTATTGAGTGCCCTCTCAAAAGCAGCCATTCGGTCCATGTCTTTGTATGTCTCATTCCCTACTTGAATATAATCCCATCTGAAATAAGAAAAAAACATCAGAGGTAACGTTACTCTATTGTGATCTAGGTATCATAANTATTATGATTGCCTTACCAACTCCCCCAGCTGCAGCCTCAATATTGAAATCCTTCTTCTCCAGATTTCCCTGAAGCAATTAATCCGATTACAACTGAAGTACATATGCTCACAGGAAAGTTTAGGATTCACTTTGACATGGTGGAATACAGAATACAGTCTCATAATTGTTCTATGTTCCCTGTTTTGAAAAATGATTAAATTTCTATGGAAAAACTTCAAATTACAAATTGTTTACACTTAGAACAAAAACAGCCATTAGATCTACTCTTCTGGGAAAAAAAACCACCATCATGCTCTTAATTGCAGGATTTAACCATCCGTATAGTAGATTGACATTTGTGCCAAACAGGGGGCCACCGGATCAATGGTTAAAATTTGTACAAATATTTGTAATATTGTAAAAAAGGTTGTGGGTTCGAACCCAACGGCCCACTTTGTACAAATATTATCAAATCTTAGGTCCGTACGTATACAAGTTGCCTCTATCACTCCCCGGTTAATGAGGATTAAACTCGGTGTTTTTTAAATTGATATCGTGCCACTAATCCTGTGAACTAACCCTAGCCCATTTGGTTTTCCTTGTACTTACTATTAACACGAATAGCATTATCCTTTCTTTTAAAAAAATTTCCGCTTATAACCTTGCCCATAGAATGCAAACAAGTACCTGAATATATATATCAAATATGCGCCTCCCGAGGCTGCTATAAGTTCGGTCATCTGTAAACATGATCTCTGCAAAGTGAAGGTCCACCTTGTAGTTCCCATTCAGCAGACAGATCGCATAATAAGTCAGAGAAAGGGGAGAGAGTCGTGCATCCATGTACAACTTAGATGTGTTTGCAGAGAGACTTGAGGAGTTCCGATAAATATATGAGTCTTCGGGTTTGCTGTCATCCAAGAACTGACCAATGCTGCTAAACCCCCAATTATTTCCTGGGGGAAAACTTGAAGTTGAAGGTCCACCTGAATTTGTATCATCCTCATATCTGTTTCCACCATCAAGAACTTCACTTCCGCCACAGTTTATATGCAGATAGGACAGATCTGAGACAATTGAGTAAGAAAGATTACTCACATTTAAGAAAGAAAGAAAAAAAAGGGAGATAACAAAGGAATTTATTGAGTACTTAATTATAATGTCCTCCCTCTACCTTAAAAGTCAAAAGTACATATAATCATCTTCCACTTTCCATTGTAATCATCTTCAACATTTTCATAGTAACACTGTCATACTTTATTGAATTTATAAAATATCATAAAAACAGATTGGCTTAATGCGAGTTTCTGGAGCTAATGTGCAAAACTAAAGGGAAAAAGTAATTAGAAGAGAATTTATGTGTAACTTACTTCGTGGACATTTGGAGCTTCCCAAGCAAGAAACAGTTCCACTGGCAAAACAATTCAAAATACAGAAGTTATCATCATATCATGTTAGGAATTTGGGTTTCACAACAAAGCAATATATTCAAAAGGATTCTGCCGGTAACAGTAACTATCACGGTTTTGGCCCCAAGCACCTTATCTCCATATAATTTGAAAACCTACACTTTGCCCCATTTATGACTATGGAATAGAGTGTCATTCTTAAATTTCAGTTGAAATTGGCAGTCATAGGTCAGAAGTCCAAAATTTCAGTAAAATAACATGCTACAGTGAGTTTTATCTCCCTATATGCATTATATCTTCTTTTTTTTTTATTTTTTTAAAATAGACCTTTCTCTTTCTTTCTTGTCTCCACTTGTATTGTACCTATATTTTCCAATTAGTAAATTGGTTTTAGGGAGAAAAATATGAAAAACAATTAAAGGAAATTCAAGCGTATTATTATCTTTCTATAGAAAATCATCACTCAAGTTAGCTGTAGCACTTTAATCCAAGACTTTGGGGAGGGGTAAAATGTAGATTTCTGATCACAAGGGTGAGTTGTGTATTTGGACCCAAACAGCAAGGATGTACAATGCAGTTCACCCCAGATACTATAATTGAAGTCTTGTACAGGTTTAGAATCTTACGTTGCATTGAGACTTGGCAAGTTTCCGTACAAGTTCCTATATAGAATAATAAAAAGTGTGAAGTTCAGGTGGTAATATAATAACATAACGATTAGCAATGGAAATAGAAACTGTAAGGGCTATGATGATGATGATCTGAAGGAGAATCCAAATAATCTTACACATTTCCTCGTTGACAACTTAAGGCGGTGTTACGATCTGTAAACTGGTTGAATGAAAGGTCACTGCACAGAAAATTCACGTTATGATTCAGTAGCACGAGCATAACAATTATGATTCATGTGTGCTAAATGACAAGTTTAAAAACAATTAGTAGATAACTGATTCTCCTCTCAAGTCTCTACCCTTCTTTCCTGAATATAAATTTCCATGTATCCTATTTGAAAGATTAAATTCTGGAACACTATTTATTGTAACCACGCAACCAGTAGATTGATTGTACATTTTGTACTGGCAATATCATTCTTCATGATAGGATCTACAAATGCCACTTTAAGCTAAGAAGAGGTGATTTGGGTGAAATCCACTTTTTTCACCCCATGCTGATTGGCTTGAATTTCAAACTTTTTTTACATAATGGAAGAGAAACTTACTAGTACTTTCCTCCTTTCACCATCCAATCAGGCACAGGTCCAGATAGCAAGTTTCCAGTTAAATAACTGCACAAAATTGATATCAAGAATTAGTATGATTTAATAATTTTAGCTCTAAAGTAGCAATNGATGAAATCCACTTTTTTCACCCCAAGCTGATTGGCTTGAATTTCAAACTGTTTTTACATAAGCATTTGCATGAAGATTTCTCATTCTTTTTCGTAGCTTTTCATTGGGGCTGCACTTGGTTGAATGATCAATTGTAAAATATCAAGTTTGAAGACTACGGTACTACGAGTTATATGTCGAACATGTTACATAAAAACCTTGAGTTCGTTGACATCTTGTGTTGTTTCGATTCCAATTGGTCTCCACAAATTAGCATGACATTCTATTCTAGCAGAGTATAGGCCCTTCATGAATCCTAACATTTATATCAGCCAATTATCCCTATGTTCTAAATAATTATGCAAAATAAATGACATGATGACTTTTCACTCTCCACTAAAGGTCCTCAACTTGCAAATGTTTCCTGCACAAAATTGAAGAGTTGGAGGTGAAAGAGAACTGCCATTTCTTTATATTTCATTCTTTTGTCAGTGCACAATGCTGGATATGCAAGATCAGATAATGAGATTCCAAGCTTAGGTGCAATTAAGTCAACTTCGCAGGAATGCAGTACAAAGTAGATAAATTCCCTTCAGACATCTTGGGATGCTCAAGTGAAATGATTTGCACATATTAGAACGAGGAGTTCTTTCTCTCCATAACTAAAAGACCCAACTTGAAATTATTGTTGCATCCATGAAAATATTGAAGGTTGACTTGCAAGAGAATTGTTTGTTCCTACTAACAACCCCGAATCACTGGGGTTTTTGCCTAGGTATTATATGTAATAACCCATAGAAAATATATATATATTATTTTATTTTGGTGCATTGGCTACCTAGGAATAATTATATATAAGAATAAAAAATAATTAAAAAAGACTAATATATCTCTAATAAAAGTATTGCCCCAGAGAGACCAATTAGGACTATTCTACATGTGGTTTATGATGAGCCCAAATCCAACTAGGTCAGGTCCAATTAATGAGGTGAACCCAAAACAGCTACAAGGCAGGTCAAGCCCAGCCCGTGAGTTCAGCCCTGTCCAAAGTCTAAAGTAGTCCACAAAGATTAGAGCACATGGGAAGTAATCATCGAGATATCCACTCTCGAAGATCAAGGCTATCTTAATTGTATTTACCTTTTTTAGCTATCTCCCCGAGAAACTAGTGCCTTTACCCTCATGTCACCGCCTCACCTAAGGGCTTCATGCTTATAAATTATAAGCTCTCTCTATTGAGAAGGGCATCTCAACACCTCTCTACACACCCGTTACATAACTTTTCTCTCTCCTATCTATTGTACCTTTCTCGAAGCACACCTCTTCCGGAGTTCTCTCTCTCTTACCTTAGTCATTAATAAAGGCTCTCCGGCCATCGTTGCCGCTTTCGGAGTGGAGTGGGTCATCCGAACCGAACCACTATATATCTACATATTGACCTAATATTTACTTTTTTGTCATTAATTATTTTATTAATTATCTATTAATTACACTATATCACACACTCGATTATTGACCGCACATAAGCCCATTTTGTGCATCATCAGTTTTGCCCCGTTTGTGGGAGACGACTGAGTTTTCTACTACCTTGCTATTCTTTTCTAAATCCATGGCAATCACAACCAAGTCGATGAATCAACAAGCAGAGGACAACAACCCAGCCCGCCAGGAGGAGGCTCTAACTCCACCTCCACCGGCACCAGCAGAATCGTCCACTATGGCTACTCTCGTGGTCGAGCAACAACTTTTGGAGACCATACAATTGTTGGTAAGCTAGAATCAGCAAATCATCTAGTTGATGCTTGCCTCAGGAGGTGCCGCCCCTTAGCCTAGGGGAGTAATACTCCCTCCAATTAGAGAGGTGCCATAGCCTCCCCACTCTGGGCGCCCCCCTGCAGCGCCAGGGCGTCCCTCACCAAGGAGTCCCCCCACTGCACGCAAACTCCTCACATGTTCTCCCTCCTCATGTACCTGATCCACACATAGCCGACCATCCCGAGCAGGAGGATGAGGGAGAGAACCAATATGCGGATCATGAAAGCTACTACAATGATCAGACAGAGCATGTTCCTAAACAATGAGACGAGAAGATCAAGGGGGTGCAGGACCAACTGGGAGATACCCTCAACGCCATCAAAGCATAAGTACCGGAGACGGTGGATTATTTGGTAAGGCGTACGAACACTCCATTTGTTATAGATGTTGTCAATTGCCCCCTACCCTTGAAGTTCAAAATGTCTGCCATCGAGATCTTCGACAGTACCAAGGACCTTCTGGACCACCTTGACACCTATAAATCTCTTATGCAACACCACAACGTGCCTAATGAGATTATGTGCAAAGCTTCCCTATCACCCTCAAAGGGTCCGCACGCCATTGGTTTGCTAAGCTCAGGCCTTATTCCATTCACTCATTTGTGGAGTTAGGCAAGTCTTTCGTTTCTCATTTCATTGGGGGACGCTGACATCAGAAGTCAGTTATCCACCTGCTCACCGTCAAGCAAGATCAGGATGAAAGTTTAAGGAGTTACCTCACTCATTTTAACGAGGAGGCTCTCCAAATCGAGGAACCAGACGACAAGGTGACCATGGCTGCTTTTTATTGCAGGTCTGCGCTCCTTGAATTTCATGTTCTCTATCCTAAAAAAGCCACCATCCCGCATGCCCGAGTTGCTGTCTAGGGCACAAAAGTATATAAACGCCAAGGACATCACCAAAGCCTAACGAGGTGAGCCATCCCGAGGACAAGAGAAAAGGAAGGACACCCACAAAGACAGAAGAGAAACAGAAAGTAAGAAAAGTAGGACAGAGAGAGTCTCTGTTAAAGGCCGTCTTGGTCTCTCACTTTTGAGAGAGCGGCAAACTTTCACGCTGCTCAATATTTCAGTAGAGCATATCCTGTTCCAAATACAGGACGATCCTACAATACAAAGTCCAGGGAAGATGAAGGCCACCCTGAACCCCGAACTGTAAAAATCCGAACAAGTACTGTCGCTTCCACCGCGACCACGACTATGATACTAATGATTGCTTTGATCTTAAAAGGCAGATTGAAGAGCTCATACAACGTGGCCAGTTATGGTAGTATATTGCTGGCAGAGGACAAGCTCCGCCATCTGATAGGAACTAGGATGACAGAGAGCGCCAATAACCCCTCGGAGAAATCCAGATGATCTCTGGAGGGTTAAGAGGAGGAGGTGACTTCAACTTCGCCAAGAAGGCGTACATCAAGAAAGCCAAGCTGGCCAAGTCGCACGACTCTCACCCAATGAAGACACCTTGGCACAAAGAAGGAGAGATCATCACCTTCTCGAACCGGGACCTCGAAGGACTCTAAGTACCTCATGATGATCCTCTAGTCCTAACCATGATGGTAGCCAACTACTAGGTAAAGATAATTCTGGTGGATAGTGGTAACTTAGCCGATATTCAGTTCGCACCAGCCTATGACAGCCTCTATCTCAGCAAGGAGAGATTGCAACCCGTTAGGTTTCCCTTTATCGGCTTCTCGGGGGAGAAAGTTTGTCCCTTGGGTTCCATCACCTTGCCAGTCATAACAGGTATAACACCAAGAAGCTCCACCATTATGGTAAACTTCATAGTGTTAGGCTGCCCCTCTGTTTACAACATCATACTTGGATGCCCTGCACTCAACACCTTAAGGGTAGTGCCGTCCACCATTCTTCGTTTTCCAACCCTCTGTGGGATCGAAGAAGTTAGAGGAGACCAAGTTGCTGCCAAAGAATGTTATGTGGCCTCTATGAGGACCAAGAAACCCCAAGAGGCCTTCTGAGTGGAAGTGCTCGACCCTAACGATGATAGCACACTGAAAACAAGAAAGCCTTAGCTCACCTATGGGACACCAAACACTTGAAGAGCTATTATAAAGAATGGGTGCAAGCTAGTGGCTCTCATTTTATCCGTCCTTCATTGTTTCAGTTGATTTTTTCTGTTATTTATTAGTTTATGAAATAAAATTCTGCGAAGATTATTATGTCCAGAATTGTCTTACTTTTTTTAAACAACTTACAAAAGTCATAACATAACCTAATAACAAGATAGACAAAAAGACAAAAGTCATTATACTCCCGACGATCAGTCACTGCTCTCCGAGCCACCACCATCAAGGCTCTTCCCGTCACCATATAGGATGAAGCCAAAGAAATTAATAGTAGAGGAAGCTCATAACCATTAATAAAGACGCTTGCAATGACCCTCTCAGTAGCCTCCCTCCTCATCTCCATCTCAATGGAATGAGCTTCCGCCATGGCAGCCCTCTCCCAAGCTATACGTAGATCGGCCTCAGCTCTGGCGGCTCTCTCACGGGACGCTAGCAACTCTGACTCTGCTCTCGTACAGACAGTCACCTTGTCAATCTCCAACTTCGCGTTCTCTCGCGAGTCACCAAGATGCTCAGCCTAATCCTACTTTTGCTCCTAAGTAGTCTATGTAGCCAGAGTCGTGCTCTCTCGTGAGTCGTCAAGAAGCTTGACCTAATCTTACTTCTGCTCCCAAGCAATCTAGCTCTCCCTCACGAGTCGACAAGAAGCTCGGCCTAATCCTACTTCTGCTCCC